CAATATCCAAGCTGTCTGTGCTGTCAGGATCGCTGCCAGACCACAGCTCCGTATGTCTCCTCTTTTGGTGCAAATTCTTCTGCTAGTTGGAGTTTAGTCTACTTCTATATCCTTCCCTTCAAGGCTCAGGGGTCCAGGATTATCTTCTGTATCTGTGTTGATTGGTTCCCCTTTTCTTTGTTGAAAAGGGTCTGTGCAGTCTTTCTGCCTATTCCGCCATCTTACCGGAACTCCTTGAATTCCCCCTCTAACTGAAAGCTCATCTCCCCTTCAAATATATTTTGTGTCTCTCTTGGTAGCTTAGTGATATTTTATCTCCAAGGCAAGTTTCTTGGGATTGAGATTTCAGGTTCCTGTAATAGGGCTTCTTTTTAAAACACCACAGGAAAACCCATAAAGTGGGGTTTGTGACACTCAGAAGAAATTTGATGTTCATGGGATTTCTAGCGTGATCCTTCTCTTACTTCCTGTCCTAAGAGAGAACAAAGCATGGAGGTGGATGCACAGGGCTGTCAGGCACTACTGGTGATTTGGAAGAATTGTAACAGTCCATTGAAATGAGCCCTCGGGTCAGAGCCCACGTGAGCCAAGCGTGCTCCCACGGTACTAAGGAGCTGAGTCAGAAGCCCCGCCCCTCTGTAGGCATACCATGTACAGAGCACAGGTACTTTGGGTACCTAATCGATTTTGGAATCCCTTGTTGCAGGTAAGCTGTTGAAACAGAAATGTGCACTCCATGGGTTTAATGAGTAGCCTCCATGATAGCTTGGTGACCAAGATGGAAAGAGAGGCAAGTGTGTGAGGGAGTGGTCAGAAAGAGGTACAGGGGCCTTTCGTGACTATGCACTTGCAGACTTGAATGTCAGAAGCAGTGTTCTTTCTCATGGAAGACGTCTTTCAACGGCATATCCCATTATGGTTCCCGCACCTGGGGAGGCATGGAGATGGACTCAGAGTGTGTTCGGAAGGAAGCTGTCCTCTGCAGTCTAATGAGATGGAGGTGGAAGTTTGCAGAGATTGTTGGAGCAGTTGTCAAATCTGCAAGAAACCAGCAGAATAAAGAGCACGTTGGACAGAAGGTGGCTTCTCACTAACCCTGGAACCGCATGTCGGATGAGTGGCTGGCCAGCATCTCCTCCTCATAGCCCTGTCTTCTAAAAACCAAGGAAACCCAAGTTCTCCTACTCAGTTTTCTCAGCCCCTCTAGAGCTCTCGTTTCTGCCGACTGCATGAGAAGTGGAAATGAATTGGTCCCTGTACCATGTGAAGAAATAAGAGGGAAGCACTATTCATTCTTCAACAAAGGTATTTGCCTAAACATGGGTGTGTGGTATCATTTCAAATGTTGTGGAATCTGAGGAGACATTGGTGTATTGCTTTTTTTAAGAAAACATGACTTCTCAGTTTTCAAGTCTCAGTTTGACTCATAATCATCAGGACTGGATCCTGTGGTCACTTCTGCTCTACAATTTGGACAGACTCTGCCATAGGTCTTGAAGCAAGGGAAGTGGAAGCCAGTTCCTTCTAGAATTGACTGAATGCACCCAGAATGTTGAAGTCACAGTGGTCTTCTTCCCAATTTCGCTAACGATGAAGAAGGCATTCTGTCAAATGGTTCCAGCCGGAGGGCCTGTCTGCTTTCCTAGGTCCTTTACCTGTTAGTGTTTATCTCTTGTATAAAATGAGAATCAGTACCAACCCCCTGGATACACATCTGTAATAGAATAACTAACATAATACATTTTAAACAATAGCAAAACCTATTTCTATACATTTATTCTATGTTTTTTTTTTGTTTTTTTTTTTTAGCATAATCTATGGTTGCCTATGGTTTGATACCGAATATTTGCAGCTAGGTTGAGATACAGACTTAAATGAGGCATAAATGGTTGAGACGCCTTTCTGGGCCTCTCATTGACCTTTTGGACATGGAGGCCTCAGTGCTTTGATGTCTGTTGCGCTCTGTCACTGGTCTCAGGACTTCTGGTCCATGTACTCTGATGGTGGAGGTCCTGCTCAGGCCCTGCTTAGTGTCCCACTGAATACCAGCCATAGCCAGAATGTTGAGGTGGTGGCCCTGGACAAGGAGGCATTTCTCTTTTTTTTTTTTTTTTCATAGTTGTTACGTCTGCTGAAATCCTCCAGCTATGATTGAAGAAAGCAGACAAATGGCAATAAAACATGATGGAAAAGGAGCAGGAGAGGAGGAAATTTCATTGCGATGGATATTTGGAGAAATAAATTAGAGGAAGGTGTTGATACAAAGTTTTCTGCCATGTCCAGAAATCACAGCGTAATGCTTCCAATCTCTTCTCCTTTGAAAAGCACTGGGGGAGGGGAAGAGAGTACAAGGGGTTGGCTGACCTGGAGGGGGTCTGATGCTAAGATTCTGTGTGCTTTCCAGCAGGTGTCCAGACACCAGTGGGTCATCAGTGTGTGTGAGCCTCTAGTGTCAGTGTTCCTTCATGTTTCTGTCTGTGTTAGTGTGTATGTGTGTGTTTGTGAGGGTGTTATAAGGCAGGGTGCTTAAATGCTTTGTTGCATTATGTTAATTCCTCGGCAGTGCAATCAAATTCATGTCGTAATTAAAGCTGTCAGTTGGAAGGCAAGCCAATCGCCACGAAAACACAGCATAACAAATGAAGTGAAATGATTCTGCGTGTAGCTATACAATGCTTCGCCAGGCATGAAATTAAATAAGTAATTTGATGTTGACATCAGAAATTGAAATGATACCCACTGTTCCCTCATTCAGTCAGACCTGCATAAACAATAGCCAGGACAAATATGCACAACAAAGCCGTGGTCTCCACCCAGCTCCCCGAGTAATGTACAATATATATGCAAAACGAGTGTCGCACAGCCTTCCCAGACCCGAGCATGTCATTTTCTTTGGTCTACAATCAGATGAGATGTATGTGGGGGTGGGGAGCTGGGTTTGGTAGGGTGCCCATCCTTCTGGGATAAAATACATTTCCAGGAAGGGGGAAAAAAAAAATCAACCGAAGTAAACACATCCTTCGGTTTCTCTGAGTAATGGATCCTGAAATGAGTGCCCGGGGCCTGCCTCCAGCCTGTGGGGCCCTCACTGGGGTTTTGCTTTCTTCTGCCCCATGGAAGGCTGTGGGTGCTGAGCACAGGTGATGCTGTCACGTGGTGAATGCCTGGCACCAGGAGCCGTCTCCATGGCTACTGTGGATTTCCCTACATACCGCTTATAGGATCAAGCATGCAGTACCTTTTTTTTTTTTTTAAGTCCAGTGTGTGAGATCCCCAGAGCCTCCTGCAACACTGAGGTGAAGACAGTTTTGCTCCGGGAACTACGTTGAAAAATACCCAGGGGTATGCTGTCCTTGTTCACTGAGGATGTAGCCACAGCTCTGTGTATCCTTCTCAACCCGTTTACTATCACAGGGGGCATCACATGTGCTGTGTTTTTGGAGATGCTAAATTCACCGAACCCTTTTGTCCCTGGATGGTCCATCCGTTCATTGCTTTATTTATTTATGAATTCACCACATGCTTAGCAAAGCATCCCTTGTGCATGGCACTGTGCTGAGCTCCGGGTGTGCAAGAAAGATAAGCCAGGTGACCCTGCCTGCCCGCAGTTTGCAGACTGAGAGTAGGACATGGTGAGGGATGAGCTAACGTGAACAGGGTAACTGGGCCATCAAGGTGGAGTTCACGCTGCATGCTGTCGTTAGTGGCCGTGGAGTTGGTCCTGACTCGTGGTGACCCCGTGCACAGCAGGATGAAACACTGCCCTTCTCCACTGTGGTCCACAAGGTACCCTTGGGCTGATCTTCACAAGGAGATCATCAGGCCTTTCTTCCTACTCTCTCAGCTCCTGTGAAACCTGCAACACAGAAGAAGCCTCCACTGGGAGCGACGTAGGAGCTGTGCAAGAAGTGCAGTGGCTGGGACTTGATCCCAGGTCTCCTGCCTGAAAGGCACGAAGTCTACCACTGAACCACCAGTGGCTCATGATTCAGGCTACTGAGGAACGGAAAGCCTGACCAAAGCCCATCAGGGCAAAAACCTGCTGGTGCGCAGTCACTGGGCTGAGACTGAACGAAGCCTGGCTCAACATTCTCTTTCTTTTCATTGCAAGCTTATTTGGGTCTCTCTTATTCACAGAGAGGATGCTCAAAAAGTAAAGAATTTGCAAGGAGGAGAGGTTTTAGGGCAAAGGAGGAACAACCACACAGACACGTTTCAAACACAGACTGTGCCCCTTCCTCCACCTCGTCTTCTGGCTTGTTATCTCAAAGAAGTGAGGGAATGATACCCTGCATTCCTTTTAAATTACTGTTGTTTTAGTTCCCTGTGTGTCGGAAGCATGGCAGCCTGCATGGATAATCCTTGTGACTAACACATTCAGAGAAATGGTGCTGTTCACTCTTCCTCTCGTCCACACCTCTTTTGCATTTTAGACTACTAATTATGTTTACAGAATGTCTCATTTTTGACAAGCACTGTGTGTTTACTAACTGGAGCCTTTAGGGAGTAAACTGGCAAGTAGGTCACAGACTGGAAAAGTCATCCGTGCCCACTGGGCATTTTATTTTCAAGTCCGTCTGGGCCTTTTCCTCTTGCCTGCCCCTTGGCGGCCACAAAATGGAGTAGCTTGAGACCAGGGCATTGAATGTCAGCAAGTCAGGGAGGCTGGCTGATGCATGTCTGTTTAGACTCAGTGCAGGGCAAAATGCCATCATTAATTCATTACCCAGCTGCCTGTCAAATAAATTGGCAATTACATCCACCGCAGAAGCTTGGAATTCAGTAAATAGCACGTTAGCATCTCTGAGTTGTTGAGAGATGTAAAGGGGAAAATTAAGCAACACGGTGTTTGTATCAGTAGCAGATGACAAGGGGCAGAACACCCTGGTGATGGGATGCGGTGATGAAAAGCCTGCGAAGGGCTGGTAATGAGCTGTGTGGATTGGAACGTGTTAAAAACCATTGCTGATTTTCCACTCTGTCTTTATGCTTTATTGCAGAGTTCAGCTCCCTCCAGCTTGGGAACAGGCTACTTCGTAAGTCTATCGCGGCTTCCACGTGTGTGCCTTGCACAGGCATTGATTTACCTCTGTAATGAATGCTCGTTAGGATGTGAAAGCATCTAAGCTAGCCTCTCTTGGTCCTAAACAGCAGACTGATACCCATGCTTTTAGTAAGAATGGTTTTCTTTCTCAAAGAGGGTCTGCCAGGCCCTCAGGACCATGGGTCAGTCTGACATGTGTGGCTGGTTCTTTGCACACAGGACACATGGTCCTTACCTGGCAGAGGAAGAGGGTAGCCCACCTTTGTGGGTGCAGGGGAAGCCAGTTGGCTGGTTCCACCTCTCCTCCGTAATTAAGTATTAGTCAGAACTGCCTTGTGGAGGATGGACCTCAGATGATGCGTTGAAGTGTATGGTCACTCCACGATCTCTTGAAGGACTTCCCACATGCAAAGTGCATAGTCATTTTTTCATTTTGCTGAGAGGTGATATGTGAGTGGGTGTTTACCCTCCCAGTCTGGGTAGGTAGCCTTTGGCTTTTCTTTTGGGAATCAAGTCAACTTTTCATTTTAAGAAACATAGGGGTCTTATTTTCTGCTGGACCCTTATCTGTCCTTTGAAGGAGATAGGAATGGGTGACATATCCCAGGGATTTTTACAGTATTTCTCAGCCACAGAGCAAGTGCCAATTCATTTTTTCTTTAAAATTTATAGTAAAATTGCACTTTGGGGATCTAATCGTCTTTGCAGATATTTGTGTGTTTCGTATGTGTATGAAAAAGTTGCAGAGAAGCGTGAGTTACACGACAGTACCATGCCACAGTAGAAGGGATTGTGATATTGACTGGGGAGCCTTGTTTCTGTTCTGAATGATGAGCACTGATCGTCCAGGTCCTACTTAACCTGTCCTGAGAAAATAAAACAACATGCAAGATCATTACTGATGCACTTGAGTTGTTTTTCACGTTCTTCCTCTAAAGTCCTAATTACTCTGGTTTTCTTCCGCCCACACATTTTTGTCCATACACGTACATTAAAGGCATTAAAACCAACATGTTCTTGTTGACTAGTAAGTCTTTCCAAGCTGGGCAGAAGTAACATTTGCTAGATTTTTTTTTGTCTTAATGTAAGATACGAGCAAAGGATAAAGCTGATTTTGTTTGTGCTTATTACAGTCAGCACACTGTACTCCCTTATCCTGGGGCCTGCTGGCTGTGGCTGAATATTCATGCCTACAAACACGCAGGATCCGTTCGGTCTCCTGCTTCAACAGTCAGTCAACAGAAGTGGTTCCATCTGCCGTTCCTTCACACCAGGCTGGGTGTGGGTTGATGGGCTCGAAGTGAAATCTGGAGGCTGCCAGAGTCTCTTCTGCATCCAAAAGCTATATGCCCCACACCCCCTTTCTTCAGCAAAACCCCGGCCAAAGCCGCTGCCTCAGCCATTGATCTCTTCTGCACTGAGCGTGCGCATGTTTTTTATTGTCAGTATGGTCACCCTGAAAGAATAAAGCCATCTCTGGAAACATAGGGATTTCCATTGTGCTGTATGTCCTTATGTTTCATTCTGGTTCCAGGAATGTTTGTTTTTATTCTCTAATAATACACGCTTCTGACTAAAGAGACTTTATGAATCCAAATGATTTTTTTTTTCATTTACATAACGTTAGATGAGTACAAAAGTTTTTCCTTGTTTTGGTAAAATTGCTCTGAAAATTACTTTGCTTATACAAAAAACCTGTACTTTTATTAGCTTACATGGAGAAGATACGTACCAGATGTGCGCTCAGCTCTCAACTATGACAAAAATGCCTTACTTCAAATGTGTTTCCAATAATGTGATTATTATGTTATCAAAGTGCAAAATCCATTGCATTATTGCCAAGCCCTCATCAAAAAGCATCTTCTGTTTCAACTTCCATTCCACAATATGCCACATAACACTTGCAGCACTGACCTTGAGCGCTGGTGAGTTTCACACCCTGAAATGGAAGTGATGTCCTCTCCTTGCGCTTTCCTCTCGTGTCGACACATGTTCTTGCCCTGTGCTTGTTACCTGTGATGTGACAATAACCTTTTGCATGTGTCTGGAAAGGAGGCTCGGTGTCAGGTAAGTGGCACGGTGATACCTGGATTCTCTCCCTAATCCGCTTCATCTCTGAGATTTTGACGGAGACAAGTCACCTGCAGGGTCAATGGGCCGGTCATGCAGGGGAACCACATGTGAACGTTGGTATGAGCAAACCGAAAGCATGCACGCATCTAGTGGGGTTAACAGCCTGGAACTGTTTTCTTCAGCAATCTCCCGTACATACTCCGGCATCACCCTCCAACCCCGGAAGCCTTTCTTGTTGAGATTTTATGCTCTTACAGAGCTTTTAATGAACTAAGGTAAAATGCTGATCATTATATGTAGTAATAAAATAGACACTCACTTGAGCATATGTGTGTGTGCGTGTGCACACGCGCACACGCACACACACACACACACACCCCTTAGCCAGCACTGGTATATTCTACTTTCTTTCAGTTCCGTTTAGTTTATCGATAGTGGTAAGTTAAAGGGTTTGAAGTAGAGGGCATTGGTCTTTCATCTGCTTGGATTTGTTGTTTGTATCTCCTTGGCTCTGTGTTCCAAAGATGTCTGCTTAGATCTGTCACTTTTCCAGTCTGGTTTAAAGCATTAGAGTTGAGACATGGGAACAGCAGCTTAAATCAGTGTTTACATAAGCATACTGCAAAGAGTGCTTCAAGTAGACAAAATAGAGCGGGGTTGGAACAAACTTTTTGCATTTGTGAGCACTTTTGAGTGATGTGGGTGTTAGATACACAGAGAGACTCACATATATATTCCTCACATGCTCATGCCCAGCTCGTACTCTAAATATAAGTGGAAGTAATAGACCAGTTGGAATCGATTTGCCTTAAAGAGTAATAAAACTGGTTGCAGCGTGTATAGGATTCTCCTTTCTTTTAACGTGGATGCACTGAACACATTTTCTTTTCAGTTTGAATGCTTTTGGCTAGATGACCTTCTTGTGCCTGTGGTTGACGTCTCAATATGCATTAGAGTGTAATTAAGGACTTAGAGGTGAAAAGAGCTGGAGTTGAAACCAGTTCCATCCGACTGTTGGTATGATCATTTTGGATAACCAAAAACAAAGCCCACTCCCATCGAGTCAATTCCAACTCATAGCGCCCCTAGAGTACAGAGTAGAACTGCCCCATAGGGTTTCCAGGGAGCTCTGGTACCATAGTGCCTAAGGCACTTGGCTGCTAACCACAAGAAGGCTGGCAGTTCAAACCCACCAGCCACTCCTCGGGAGAAAGGTTGGGCAATCTACTTCTGTAGTGATATTGCCTCAGAAACCCAAGGAAGGGTCACTATGAGTCAGGTCTGACTTGACAGCACATAACAACAACAGTAGAGTTTCCAAGGCTGTCATCTTTATAGAAGCAGAGTGGACAGTGGGTTCTAACCTCTGACCTTTTGGTTGGCAGCCAAGTACTTTAAAGGTTATTTAATGTCTCTAAGTTTGTTTCTTCATCCATATCAACCTCACAGAAGTGTCAATATTAAATGAGATAAATATTTATCACACATAGCACAGGACTAATCACAAATAGTAAATGTTGTCCCTCACGCCGTCATCTCTTGATACTTGATGCAGGATGGAATGAACTTGATCTCATGAAATGGCTGTGCAGTGTTGTGGCAATGAAGTGCTACCACCAGAAATTAGTGGTACCCAAGTAGGTTTTGTAGTTGGTTCTTATAGGATAGGATTATTTTATTCTCATTATGATCTCATAGCTTTCTCAGGAGCTTGTGGTTTACATTTAGTCGGCTGTGTACCAGTCAACTTGATAATTGAACATAAATATGATATCCATTCTCTGTGATCCTCTATGATCATAGAATGAACTACTTCATGGGCTGTCCACATGTTACCATTTTTCCCTTTCATTTGTCTGTGTAACTTGTTTATTTTCTCCCCATGACTAAGAAGCACTTGACGCCATTAGAGACTGTTAGCAGCAAATAGAATTGGGCTTGGAGATTAGGGAAGCCTCCATTCAGTTCATTGTTTAAAGGTGTGTGACCTTGTTCACATGGTTACTCTATCTGACTCCAGAAAGAAAAGTTACTGCCCTGGCATACCCGAATGAAGGAGCTGCAGGCATAAGAGTGACAAGACTAGGGCAAACACCTCATAAGGACCAGTGGTCTGTAGGGTCATCGTAGAGCACATCTGGACTCATGTTTTATGAGCACCCCTCTCCATATGCCAGCACTTTGGAATTGCTGGTGGGGTGGCTTATGGCCCAAGCTGAACTTGAGCCTTCCTTAATGCAGGTGACCTGTCCTTCCTGCTTCTCTGGATAATCTCTAGCCTTTTTATAGATTTGGAGCTATGTGTCTTAGTCTCATAGCCTCATGAAGCTGGGACCCAGCCTTTGTAAACACCACTGATTTTTTTCTTAAGGGTTTTCAAGTAATAATTTTCAGTTTCCTCAGTTGGAGCACATCTAGTAACAAACCTACTTAGAAGTTCTCAAGGAAGCCAACCCATTTGTATTTATAGAGCAAACTAGCATATTACATGATAAATAAGAATCATGTGGTACAGTAAGTCTTAAAATATGGTTTGAGTAGCTACTACTTTCCTAGGTGGTTGAATTTCTGAAGGTGTGTTGACAGTGGTGGTGATAGGCAGTAGGTACAGAATGTTGACCTGTGGCTTTCCATTTAGATGGATCAAGCTTATACAGGGAACAATTTCTTTGCCCCTAGGTTTTTGAAATATCTCACTTTTTCCTTCCCTATAATTTGTATAATTCCCAACTTATTTGTAGTATTTTGTTTAAGCATAGCTGCTGCTTTTTTAATCTCAGAGTGGATTTTACTGTTAGGTGAGAGAGTAAGGTGTTTCTTCAGAAAGATAATGGCTTTATTTATTTATTTTTTAATGGACTATTTAGAAGACTGAGCTTTTCTTTAAAAAGACACCTCTGACATCTTATATTTCAGTAA